TTTCTTTCTTTTTTTCTTTTTTCTTCGCTTATTTACTAATTTGTAGTATAAACCCTTGGTTTAATTTTATTTTCGGCTGATAAACTTCCTTCAATTCCTTCTCGCTTGTTCCTGATTCATTTTTCCATAGGCTGTGCATGCATTGCGCAGTACGTAGCAAGGATGTTTTTTATCAGTAATTTTTTTCAAAACTTCAAAAACATTACCTGCTTCTAATGCCACTTCCCTTGGAATTGCACGAGTCTCCAGCAGCTTCCGTTGCTCTGCAAAAAATTAAACCGAGTACATGTTTGCAAAGTTGCTTGTTCAGGCGTAATTAACCATATGTGAAAACGGAAATCAAAAACGCGCGAAAATCAAGTCGCGAGATTTATCGCTAGAACCACGAGACGCCCACAAGTTTTACCTGCTTGAATAAAGCTCCCATTTCTTCCTTTTGCACTACCAAAGATAAAATATTCAATACAAAMTTCTATAGCGTAATAAAAAAATATTACGCCGCTAAATATCACGAGTTCGATCATTGTAATGTTATCGGTTGTGCTACCAACCTTAAACTGAAGCCATTAGTCTAATAATGCGTTTATGACGTCATATTTAGAACGCGCGCGAAAATGACGTCATGTTCGAAAATGACCAAATTTGGCTTATGCCCTTGACGTCATTACAGGGATCGAGCCAAGTTTTCAGAAGGATAGATTATTGATTTTAATCTTAAAATTAAAATCGAAATTAAAATTAAAATGAAATTAAATTTCTTAATTCTGAAATATCGATATTTTGTTTCATCAAATAAATTTTCGGAAAAAGCGATTTGTTGGCAACCCTTCGTCTCGAGGCAGACGTTCATATCTAAATTAAATGCTATCTATCGAAAACGAGGGATCATGATTTCATCTTTATGATGATCGCTGCACACACCTACCCCCACAGGCGATAAATAGTTAGACTTGTCTCCAATAAAAACATATTCAAATGCAATCTCTATGCACTTGAACAACACAGATGAATCACAGCACAACATTTATCAGATTTTATTGGCAGTTTATATCAGTACATCATGGTAATTTTTCGATTGCACGTCATCGCTACCAAGCAACCATATTTAATCCTACAATGATGGCCGCTCTGTTTTTTATCATGGTTTTCTTGGGAACTTGCAACCCATATAACCGCCATGTTGGCTTCTACTGAACTAAAATATAACAAAAAGCGTGGATTTTCTTATAATGAGGCGTGGTATCATCTTCTCTGCCGTAACCACATGAGATGTCTATATTATACTTCTGATGCCAAGAGCCCCAGGGTCCAAAACCAAGATAGGTTAGGAAGCTTCCGAAACGATAGACAACTCCCAGTTTAACTCTGACCCTTCCAGTTCTATCATAAAAAGTAGCATTAACGCCTTCACGAGGATTGTTAAATCTGTATCTAATCCTTGGCATAAAAGTATCTTTCCATTTTTCTACACCAAGAAGAGTGTATGGCTGTGTTGGGTTCCCTGTGGTCATGACGTCGTAAAGGGAGTCAGCGCGCTGTTTTAATTCTAATTTCAACCATTTGATGTCACTGTTTGTCTTCATCTTCATGCCGAGACAGATCTTGGTCAGCGGTGTTGACCAGTATGTTGGTAGCTTTGATTCTTTGTCTTCTAGTCCCAGTCCATTTTCGGCCTTCAATGCTTGTCTGTTTGTCCAATAGAAGGAGTTGTAGTCAAACGTGTTCTGGAGTAATTAGAAAG